AAAATGATATCTCCATACAGTTAAATGAGATTCTTTTTCAAGAAGAACAAATGTGTAAGCAAAGATCCAAAGCTCATTGGCTTAAAGAAGGAGACAATAATACTGCTTATTTTCATAAAATTGCAAATGGTAAAAAAAGAAATAATTTGATTTCTTCAATCACACATAATGATATAGAAGTGTGTTCTGAGATGGGTATAGCACAAATCTTTTCAAGTCATTATAATCAGATCTTTGGTCAAAATGTGCCTCATAGATGTCAGCTTGATTGGAATGCTTTATTCCCTTTAATTGTTTGGGGTCCTAGTGATATTGAAATTCTTTTTTCTGAGGAGGAAATTCAAAAAGCCATTTTTGATATGAATGGTGACAAATCCCCTGGTTCTAATGGTTTTCCTGCTTTGTTTTTTCAAGTCTTTTGGGAGTTTGTGAAATTGGATATCATGAGACTTTTGAGGAATTTTACGAAGGCAAATTAGAAATCAACAGACTTTTCTATGCTCATATTGTTCTTATTCCAAAAAAAATGAGGCTATTACTGTCAATGATTATATACCTATCAGCTTTCTTAATGTGATTTACAAGATAATTATTAAAGTCTTGACGAATAGGCTGAATTCTAAGCTAGAATGACTTATTGATCCAGTGCAATCTGGTTTTATTGAGAACAGATATTTGCTTGATGGAGTGGCTACAGCTCAAGAAATTATTGATGATTGCTTTCAGAATAATAAGAAAGGAGGAATTTTACTAAAATTGGATTTTGCGAAAGCCTATGATATGTTAGACTGGGAATTTATTTTGGATGTATTGAAAACTAAAAAGTTTGGTGAGAAATGAATAAATTGGGTGAAAATGTGCTTAAAAGGAGGCATGTCAGCCATAAATATCAATGGTAAACCTGGGAGTTGGATTATGTACGTGGTGTTCGTCAAGGAGATCCTTTATCTCCACTTTTCTTTGTATTGGCGGCTGATTCTTTTACTAGAATGCTATCTTTAGCAATTGATTCTCACCTTATTGAGGGTTTAGGCCCTGTTAACATGTATCATAAAGTGTTATGTTTGTAATATGCAGATGATACTTTGATTTTTTGTAAAAGTAAAAGAGAACAGTTAACAGTTTTGAACTGATATTATATTGCTTTGAACTGGCATCTGGTTTGAAGATAAATTTTAATAAGAGTGTGCTTATTACTCTTGAGGTAATGAATCTTTACAACAGAATTTGGCTACTATGTTGAATTGTAAAAGTAACAGTTTTCCTATCACTTATCTTGGAGTGCCTTTAAGGCCAAGCAAATTTAAAAAAGATGACTGGCTTCCTTTGGTTGAAAAAATAAAGAGGAGATTAGCATTGTGGAAAGATAAATCATTATCAAGAGGTGGTAGACTAGTTTTAGTTAACTCAGTCCTATCCTCTATGCCAATCTTTTGATTATCTTTCTTTCTATTTCCTTCATGGGTCATTGATAAAATTAATAAGTTGAGAAGAAGATTCTTGTGGATTGGGTCCTTAGATTATAAAGGATATACTAATTTGGTAAAATGGGAGGAGGTCTGTAGACCTAAATATCGTGGTGGCTTAGGAGTTATAAATTTGAGAACATGAATAGAGCTTTGTTAGAAAAATGGCTCTGGAAATAGTTTGATGGAAGTCCTGGTCTTTGGAAACAAATTAGTTTCCATAAATATTTTGAAAGAAAAAGTTGGACAGAGTTTTTATACTCTAGGAGAGTTCTTTTATCACATTTTTGGAGGAATCTCTTTGTTAATATTAAAAGTTTTTTATGCAGCTCTCAAGTGGAGGTTGGAAAAGGAAATCACACTTTATTTTGGCTTGACAAGTGGGTAGCCTCATTTACTCTTGCAGCTCTTTTTTCATCTTTATTTACTATTACATCCTTTCCTTTTGCTACTGTTAGTAGTATGAGGAAAAAAGAGAATAATATGTGGAGACGGGTTGTCAAGTTTAAGAGACAGTTAACTGGGGTTTTTGTTTCCCAGTTCTTCTTTGATGAATTTGCTTAATTCCATTTCTTTACAGCAAAAAGAGGATAAAAGAAAATGGTTGTGGGAGGCAAAAGAGAGTTTCACAGTAAAATCTTTCTATCAATTTTTAATTGATAAAAGAAAATGGTTGTGGGAGGCAAAAGAGAGTTTCACAGTAAAATCTTTCTATCAATTTTTAATTGATGGAGGTTTGAGGTATGATTGTACAAATCTATGGAAGCTTCCTATTCCTTTAAAAGTGAAGTTCCTTGTCTGGTTGGCTCTAAGACAGAGTTTGAATACAAAAGATATACTGAAAAAAAAGAATTCATTTGGAAAAAGTTTGCTGTTTATGCTCTAACTTGGAGGAGAATCATACACATTTATTCATTAAGTGTGAGTTTGTTTACTCAATATGGAGATCAATTCAATTCAAACTAGAAACTGAGGATAATTTTAATTTGGGATCCTTAAAAGAAGTGTGGCTTAACTGGGAAGTTGGTGATGATGAGAATTGCAAAATGAAAAGAGATGTTTTCATTTGTTCTCTAGTTTGGTGTGTATGGCAGGAGCGTAATGACAGACTTTTTTTTCTAATAAAAGGAAGAAGTCTCTTGAGATTTTAAACAAAATCATGACTTTCTTAACCTTTTGGCTAGGTTCTAAAAGTACTTCTGCTCGGGCTACCAGATTACAGGAAAGAAGAAGAAAGAGGAATGCTGATAGTTTGCAAGTGGTTGGAGCTGCTAGAAGAGAAAACAAAGATTTGGTGAATGCGGTGATCTAGCTAGAATGATTTGCAATCAACTCAGTCTTGATATTGTCTTCTATCTGATTTTTAAAACTTTCTTAAAGTTGGATTTGGTTTACTTTTTGTTTTTGTTAGCAACTATTAGGTTCATATCCATGTGGAGGGATTTATGGATGTGTACAGAATGATGTTTCCTCATGCTTTGTAGTTTTTTGTAGTGGACTTCAATACACACTTTTGGTTGGGAGTGTGTATTTTTCATGCTTTGTAGTTTTTTGTAGTGGACTTCAATACACACTTTTGGTTGGGAGTGTGTATTTTCATGTAACAACCACTTTTGTTACACTTTTGGTTGGGAGTGTGTATTTTCATGTAACAACCACTTTTGTTAATATTTAGCTGGCTGGATTATCTTTGTGGTAATCCATCATTTTTCTCAAAAAAAAAAAAACATTCGAGAAAAATATTATTATTTATATATGATAAAAGAACAAAATATTCCATAGCTGCACCCTACCAATAGACATCTCCACATTTAGTGGTTGCTTTACAAATAACTCATACCTGTAAGGTTTGTAAAAGAAGCCTGTCAGCAAAGTACGATTCCAAATATGACTAAACATTTAAAGAAAACAACATATTATAAGGAAGATGGTATATAGATATCTAGTATCACATGCACCCAACAGATGTAAGGACTTCCTCATGGTAACCCTCTTTGCCCTTTTTCTGAAATTTGTAATTCTCCTTAATGTTGGTTGCTGATTTGCAAGGCTGAGGACAAAATCCAAGAAAAAATTATGTTAGACCAATGCGTTTTGAAAAGGTTTCTTTTCCAATAGAAAAAAAAGAGAAAACGAAACAGAGAAGAAAAGCATTTAACGTGATATATTTTGGAATGTTTTCGCTCCTTAGAAATAATAATGCATGGTACCTTTGGGGTTTCCATTTAAAACTGTAATTGGAGCTTAAATCGTCTATGTACTTTGAAAGCGAAAAATTAGAATGAGAATAGCCAAATGTGTAAAAAGTTGCCACGTGTGGTACTTGGGTCTTACTTTAGTATTTAGTATAGATGGCCAGTTCTTCTGTAATTTTAGCAACCATCGTATCCCTTTCACTATCCTAATCTGGCTTTGGTATTCTTGTAGCTGAAATGCTTCTGTGGCGATGATTCATTAGTCTTCCCTATCGATCTAGTCATTGGTATCCATTGCTGGTGCCTAATTCTCTGAAGCTATTATGACTTTTCTTCTCCTTATGCTACATCTGACTTGTTATGAGCGTACTTTTATGATTACCACTAGTCCATAATAGCATTCTCATTTGAGCTACAGTCATGTTGTGGATATTTTTCCTAATTGCTTAAGTTCTGAACTGTGGACATTTTTGACACAGAAAGCATGCTTGTTGTCTTATATATCTTTCTTGTTAACTTGTCACTCAATGATCATATAGTGCTTGAGACACCTATTGGCAGTGCTCGTCTTTCCTTAGCAATTTGAAGAAGGTGAATGTTTCTGTTGTCACAGCCCTCATTTTTACATCTTTCCAAATGTATATGTATCTCCTCTTCTCTACAAGCAAATAATACATGTATAACGATTGAAATGACCTTAGAAATGATTCCAAGTGTACTATGACCCAATGATGTTGGTGCCATTACGCATACTCTGTTCCTAATGCATAGCTTTCTAAGTATGTACACCATTTATCCCATTAGACCTGAAAACTAATGACGCTACACCATCCTTGATTATAATGCGGCATTTGAGTGGCATTATACTGGATCTTACTAAGTTGGAGCTCCCAATGTATGAAGGGTTCTTGTAGGGATCTTAGGAAACTTTATGTAGTCTGTCAGCTATGTAATTTAACCCCTTCTGTACTTCATCTTGGGACCACAGTGAAAGCACATGTAAGTTACTCTTTCGCCCTTAGAGATGTTGCCACAAATATTATGCCTCAGTTTGATTGGTTGTCATTCCTTTCACGAATTTGATACGTGCTGCATTCCGAGCCCCTTTTATGAGACGAATTTCTGACGCTGCTATTTATGATTGTCCTTTATTTTATTACGTAACTTCTATGTTGCATTAAATTGACAAATTAAAATATAACAAGTCCAACCAATTTCTTACATGTGTCTGTGTCCTATATTGGGATTGGGACAAACTTTTTGGTTTGGTATGCATGCTTTTATACCAAATATATGCATATATGTGCTGTTGAACTTATTTTGGTGAATTGAGTATCAGGCCATCGAAGATTTGACCAAGGCGTTGGAATTTGAGCCGAAGTCATCAGATATTTTACATGAAAGAGGTCAGTTCCTCTCTGCTTTGTTTTCTCATTCAATTTATACATATTTGGCTATGATTTTGTACCTGTTTCTTTTTTCTTTGCATATTCTTTTGCGAGTCTGTAGTTATTTAGACCAAAAAACATACATTCATAAAGGGATCATGTGCTATAAATTGCACTAGGATCAATTATTTCTGCAAGTATTTTCTTTTATGCATTATGTAAATTGACAACTATGATTTACACACATTAACTCCTGTATTCATATTCCATATTGACATGGTATTGAAAGTATGTATCCAAAGCTAAGGTAGCCACAAGGTATATGTTGTGTGAGTGTGTCCAAGTATATTTATTTGATATATTGCTGAACATTAGAGACGTAACCAATGATGGCAAAACAAATAATTTACCCTAGAATTTCTGATGAAAAATGGCGTGGAAGCATTCATCATATGCACATACCTAGGAGATTAAAAAGGTTGACGATTGTTCTTCCAAGTGTCAGATTCCAACAGGCATTCCCTCTAGTCTTATTAAGATGTTTAATGGGAGCAAGCTTCGGATATTGAATTATCTGAAGGGGTGGCTCACAAGTTTTTCATTTATCATCTTTTTTATCTAGTGGTTGCTTAGTCGCCTAGGCTTTACTGCCTATTCATGGGCTTGGTGACTGCCTGGATGTCATGTAATAAGAGGTTGGAAAGTTGCTTGGCACTGACCACCCAGGCTGCTTAGGCTGGCTTTTATTGAAATGTAAGCAGATGTGTTCCATACAAATTGCTACAAGATGTCTGTTTTTCCTTTATTCTTTTTTTTCCCCAAATTAGTCTGTGGTGTTTTTATCTTTAATCTTTTATCCTTTTTCGGTGTGGTGGGGATGTATTTGTCTGTAGCTTTGGTGCCTTTGGGCAAGTCAGCAGATGTGAGTGTGAAGGTGGAGGGTCTATGTGTGTATGAGGGTGTCTTTGCATGTAAGAATAGTTGGCCTCTTCCCCCGCATGTTGGACATGGGGGCTGAGTGCTCCAGTTAGGCAGTGGCATATGTGATTAAGGTGTCACCGCATGGATTGTCCACGATTATGTGTAACTTTGAGACTGTTCACTTTAGATGGCATCTTCAGTGACTTTGAATGTTAGGACTGCTAATATGACACTGCTTATTGTTAGTCTCGTTTGGTTAGTTTTATCCATTTACAATATAATGCAGGCTAAGCTAATACATTAGAACCTTTAAGAAAAAACTGCACATGTAAAATGTCTTTGTTGATCTGATTGTTATATGATTCCGAAATGATAATTCTGAGACCTTTGGATATGGTTTATTCTCATAAAGTGAAAAGTTACATTGCAGGAATTGTTTGTTACAAGTTTAAGGATTATGATGCTGCTGTATCAGACCTTTCAGCATGTACTAAGAAGGACAAGAAGAACAAATCTGCTTACACATATTTGGTAAGTCAATTTTTTGTTTTATTGATCTCATATTCTGTTCTATATCAACAAAATTCCAAAAGATAAAAGCCTATTTTCTTTTATCTTGTGTTACTTAGCTCTGCCAACTATTTTATGTTGATTATTCAGAGGAATCATTGTGAGGGTGTTTGGGAGAGCTTATTTTTCGTTGAAGTAGCTTTTAAGCGAGGTTTTCTATATCTACATGTTTGGTAACATCTCAAACAAAGTAGCTTATAACTTTAAGCTCAATTTGAAAAAGTTAGGGTTCCCCAACTTTTAAGAAAGTAGCTCATAAGCTCACCTAAATAAGCTAAATAAGTGAGGTGTGACTAAGTAAATGACTATTCTACCCAGACAAATATTATTAAACATTTATCTTAAATGTCTAAAGACAACAAAAGCTAGCATCTTATAAGTTTCAAAGTAAGTCCTCCTAAACATCCTCTATGTAGTACAGTGAACACTATCTTTTCCTTCTCGGTATTTGTTCCCCTCCATGAGTGACTGGTAACAGTTAATGCTCCCATAAATTTTGCTAAATGATTACAGAAGAACACTGGATATACTAAAGTGTGCTTCTCAGTTAATTCTATATTTGTATTAGGAAAATTCAGTTTCTGAAATCTGAAAGATCCTGTTGTTTACCATTCCTTTAACTTACCCAGTTGAACAGACCAACTAAGGTTCTCTTTTTATTAGTATCCTCAGACACCCTTTTCTTCTGGTATTTGATCCTTGTAGTAATTGCACTCAATAAAGTTGCAACTCTTTGATGCTATGTGGAGCTACTAGAAATGTTATTCTTGTTTTTTCTAGCTAGGCTGTAATCCTTCTTAAGTTTCTAAGCTTGTTTGTTCATTATATCATACTTGTGGAGGATTTTCATGTCTACTGTTGTAGGGACTGGCCTTATCAGCTATTGGGGAGTATGCTCAAGCTGAAGAGACACACCTCAAGTCAATACAGCTCGATCAAAATTTTCTTGAGGGGTGGGCCCATCTCATCCAAGTGGGTCATTTGCAATCATTATAAATTTCTCAATAAATGCATTGCTTTATATTTCCATGGGACTTTCTAATGCTATACAGGGTAATTATTATGTTTTACATCTTATACCAGTGTTTGTTTATTTTGCTTATAGTTTTTTGCATCAGAAATATTACATGATATATATCTCCCCACTTTATAAACTAAAGCAGGCTGCCTTTGATCTTTTGAAAATTAAGTTGTAAGGATGAGACATATGAGTTCTGAATTTTTTTTTTTCTGATATGTCCTGTACTGAAAATGTCTCAATTTTGCTACCGCATCATGCCAAACAGGTGTTCTTTCGTTATAGCTGGAAGCCAATGTTCTGCATAGTGAAGCACAAAGGTTCACCAAAATATACACTCATCTTATCCAAAAATCCATGCATGACATGTTTGACTGAATCTATATGATCCTTATTTCTGAAAATTGATATATGCTTTCTCTATCTTCATTCATCAAGACTTAAAGGTCATGGAGACATTAAAGCCATTTTCCTTAAAGGAGATAACTGCGCTGTGTATATGAATGTCGTTTTGCATTGTACTTCCTCATAATTAAATGCTAACTTTGAATGATATCAAATTCTCACCAAGCGCCCATTACTGCACCATCAAGTATTAAAAGTTCTAAATTCCTCTAGATTTTTGATTTAGTAAACTACTAATCTCAAGCCAACTTGTAGCTCTACCTTTGATTGATAAATCATCTAGAGTATTGTGGTGAAGCCAAGATTTTCTTCTAGGAGGGGCCAATTAACAACTACCATACTACACCATTAAAAAGTGACCAAATATTATAATATAATAACTTATCGTACATGTAAGTAGGTGAAAGAAGAATGTAGGATAAAAGTTTATTACAAAAAAATATTATCATAAATGCTTGAATCATTTCAACATATTCACCCTCATCAGTCAACATGCTTCAATCTTCGAAAGTTTCTTTACAAAAATGTACTAACTGTAGTTGGCTTTTCCATAACTATAAACTACAAATTTTAATATTTTTGAAGACATGATAGATTGATAATATGATATAAATAGTACTATTTCACATATCATTTTTTATATCACAAAATGCAAAACCACATGACAATATAAACCTCATTTCATAAATCTATTGTTAAATAAAATATGAAATGGATAGCCATCTCGAACTACAACTCTGAATAATAAAACATAGAATTAAAATAACTCACATATGATACTCATGTAATGAAGAGAATCTCATAATTTTTGAACAAAATGCAAACCACATCACCTGAGAAAATGAGCTCATTAGAGATGTTCCTATTTGACTTCAAACTATAGAAAATATAGTCTAAGAGAAGGGGGAAAAAGAGACTTTTGTATTAATTGCGGATGGGCAAAAATCATATTAACTAATTTACTAGTTGCTCCACTTAGTCATTGACTCATAACTTAGTCACTTAGTCATTCTTGTCAGCAGGCTCATAACTCTTTTTCTTTACAATAATACACTAGCCTTGCCCCCGACTTTGCACTTAAATGCCCTATAATTTCAAGCCGAACAAAAAAAATACCCCAAAGTATTTAAATGTTGCATATGAATATCTCATAGTTATAAAAAGCCCTGATGGCATTATCTTTTACTTCACATAACAAAGGGTACTAGAGTGAGACTCTTAGAAACATTGAGGGTATTTAAGTGACGCTATTTACCAGCTTTAGGCATTTATATGGAACATTTGGTGAACAACAGAGCATCAACGTGCAATATTTTGAAATTTTGGGGAATTTTTTTGCAGAACTTAAATACTTCGGGTCATTTTTTTGTTCGGTTTGAAAAAAGAGGTCGTTTTAGTGCATGGTCGGGTAAACTATGGGGGCATTTAGGTGCAATTAAGCATTAATTATATTGTGTACAATTGCTTCAATAAATAGGTTTATTCAATATTAGTCCATTAAATCTTTCATATTTTGAGTAAGTCCCTCAAATCATTGAAGTTAATATTAAAATTAGACTCTTCAATCAAGAGTAGTTGTAGCAATTAGGGGAATTAATTTGAAAGTACTTAATATCGGAGATGAGATATCAATTTCAATGAGTTAAGAGGGTAATTTAAAAACATGGAAGTTTTAAAGAACTAATATAGTAGACCTAACTCAGGGCGGCTGCCCCGTTAGTATTGTCCCTTTTAACAATTATATTTCAATGAACTTAATAGTTATACAACATTTTCATTAGAGATGTTTACTTCCTCTTATTAACAACCAATGGATTTTTATCTAACCGTACATATCAATCCAACTTGACATGACATCAAATAATAGTATTACAAGAAACCAAGGTTACCGTTGGGTGTTTTCAAGGAGGAAGGCACAAAACAAGGAGCAAATTTCCTAAGGCACAATGATGTAAGACAATATAAAGACCAAATCGAAATTTGGTTGAAGAGTCATGTTCAAATTAGTCTTATCTTGGTAGAGTTTAAATGCACTAGAACTCTACTTTAAAATTTAATCTAATCAATACTATCCTAACAACTTATCTCATCCTAACTAGTCGTTCCATCAGATTATGAATTTTCAACCAAATCTTGATTTGGCCTTCATCTTGTCTTACATCAGAAAGAACATGTTGAAGGCTGCATCTCATTGGAGCAAGACGGTCACATTTTCTTAAAAGATTTTAAATGTTTGATGATGTAAAATTCGAAGTGAATCAAATCAATTGTATTACATCATTTAATACACGATGAAGCCCTTAATATTAAATTGAAGTGTTAATTGTTTTTTCAAGTCACAATTTCTCTCTTTGTAATGGTAGCTAAGAAACCATAATTCTGTAAAATGTGGGTTCTCAACAACGTTTTAAAGCAAAGAAATATAGTAGTAGGTGAAAGGGGAGAGGAGAGAATAAGAGAAGAACAAGACAAAAATGGAAAGAGGAAAGATGAAGCAATAACATTGTAAAAAAGCAAAGTAAGAAGAAAAAGTGGCTAATGTACCAACTAACAGATGAGAATTAGAAGCATAGTTACATGGTTTGTAGTATGTAGTGGTTTGTGGTTCAAATTCGGGTACGTAATTCTCCACTTAGAAAGTTTGGATTCGATGGGTGTAGCTTGCTTCAATATGAAAGTTCGATACATACTATGTTATAAATTTTTTTGTGTGCGCTTATCATTTTTCGAAGTGTAAAGTAGAAAATTGGAAACTAGAAAATGCATTTCAATATTTAGTTACATTAAAGTTGTTGACTCACTGTTAATTTGTTGTCTTATCTCAATATGTAATTCAATTAAAAAAGACAGTGATCTAGGGTTATAATGAATTTTGGATAGCTTCCACTTATTATAGACTATGCAATAACTTTGTTGAAATATATTAAAAAATTCCTTATGCATGTGCACGTAAAGCGACCTTGTTTCCCACATACTTGAAAATGGTATGTCAATTTTGGGAAACCAATTCGTGTATCGAAGGGTCACAAATGTATCTTGAATCGATTTACTGGAATTGTACGATGGTCCGAGGGGTTGTACGACGGTTTGAGGGGGTTTAGGGAGTTACACAACTATGGTTAGAAGAATGGAAAGAATAAAAGTAGAAAAGCCAAAGAAATTTAAAAAGGCAGTATTGTAGTAAATTCTACATTATTAAGTAATATCAACAATTACTATTATGGTGTTATTAGCAAGCATGTATGAGCCACACTGAGGCGCAATGAGGCACACATCGAGGCATGGCAACCTCACCGAGACACCTCGCTTATGCGATGCATCCTGCGTGAGTGCAGAGTATTATGGTGTTTCCCCAAAACGCCCTGCATCCAAGCTAATTGTCTCTATTGGCATATGGAAGCACCGCTACCACTAAGGCCCGGATATATGGTAATGCAGTGGTTTGAGTTATGGGAGATTTTAGGTTCAAACCAGGCTTTTCTCTTTGTTTCAAAGGGAAAAAAGAAAATAAAGAAGATCCTGATTTCGAACGTTATCATTATTATTTAATATATGTTTATATACCCCCTTTGATTCTCCCTTTATAAGAGGGTCATGTAATGTTCTAGGGCTTTCAATCACCTAAAGATTTGAGGATCATAAGTGTTAAATTTTGCTCATAAACAGTTTTCATGTGTTGCACTTGCCTGAATATGCTTATGGTCGAATTCAATTTAGTTGACCGATTCGACACTAATACTAATATATGATGAATCATTCTTTTTCTCAATTCTTCTAGTTCTATGTATTTATGTGACACTTTTGTTACACTGTTCCGAATCTATTGTATTGTTGTCTTGTTCTTGAAATCATGTGCTTTTTGATTAACAATTAAGCATTTGTGCAGTATTACCTAGATTTGGCAAATTCAGAGAAGGCCTTTCATTGCCTTGAACAAGTTTTACTTGTTGATGAAAGGTAAGTGTCATAGCTACTGTTATGAATTCGATATTCACTTTGAACTCTTTTGTTGTGAGATTGTGATGAAAATTGCAAAATATATGATGTTCTTATGAGCTTATTTCACATGCTCCTTAGGTTTGCTAAAGCATATTACCTTCGAGGGCTACTTTACCATGGGTTAGGTCAGCACAGGTGATAAGTGGTTTCTTTCTTCTTTTTTTGCACTATTATTCTATTAGTTAAAAAGTTTTATAGGTACATGAACATATGTTTATTTTATAGAATCATTTAAGAAATTACCATTGCGAAGACCACAAAAGATAATATATGTGCATGTGTGCGTGCTTCTAGTTCCAACTTGGTATCTCCTAAATGGTAGAATGCAGATGAATTCATTATGGTTTCCATTTTCCACTAACCTCTTTCCCCTTCATCATTCTAAAAACAATCTTCATCTTTGTTATTACTTACTCTGCCTAATGGATTAGGCTAATCATTATATGTCTGTGCTTCTAGTTTCAAGCCGTTATCTACTAAAGGGAAGAATATGTTTGAAAATCGTTCTGGTTTTACCCCTTAACTTCTTTCCCCTTTATTGTACTTTCTAACTAGTAACAATATTAATCTTTGCAATTAATTACTATGCTCACATTTGAAAGTCATAGCCTTGCTGTTGGCGGCTCCTTTAAATGGCCATTTTGTTCAATACTTCTAGATGGTCCCTCTCTATCAAGGTCAATATTGCGCAAACCATAGTATCTTTGTAGCCACTTCTCTCTCTTCTTGTGTTTGTCCAAAGATAAGAATCATTCCGTATCAATCATAGTGCAGTAATTTAAATGCAATTGTCTGGTTGAAAAGAACAACGCTTTTCTATATCATTTTAATAAGAAATGAGCTATGTGCAAGTTAGGCTTGGTGAATGAGCCGAATTGTATTGAACTCGCTACTAACCCACCCGATAGGTTAGGTTTAGTATCAGCTCGGTTGGACTTGGGCTGTGTATAGCCTAGATTGATCCATTTTGGACCGAGTTTGGGTATAGGGACTAAAACTTGCTTTGAACCAAGGCCCATGACATGCCAGAACTGGGCCCAAAGTCCACACCCATTAAAATATGTATTCATATCCAATTTAATTATTGTTGTAGTTTTGTTTCTTTTCTAAACTTTTGTGTTAGTGTTACTTTTTTTCATAAACACTAGCTTCACGCCATGGCAAATCTCATGCCCACCAGAATAGCAATCACATGATAAACTTCTTATTTGGATGTATTTGAATTTCTAACAAACCTATCTACTATTATTTGCATGAGCTAAGATATTAGAACCTGTCTTTCATCAGACCTAATAAATTTATTTAGTATTAAACCCCTCTATCAATTTTCCCTCACACTATTTGTCACAATCTTCAATTTATTTTGCATCATCGTTATAGTTTTTTAGAAGTGAACACGCGCATTTCTTACAATATCATTAATATTTAGGTGAAAATTTTCACCACCTGATTCGTGGTCTCATCCCCTTCCAAATGTTGTGAAACTCAACATCGATGCAACGTTTTATTTTGATTGCTCTGGTTTTAGGATTATTGTTCGGAATCATCTTAGCATTCACCTTCTATCCTACAATACCTTCGGTCCTCTATCGACTCCCATATCACTTAAGCCATGCCTTCTCAGGGCTCCAAATTGTACTTTCTTTTGACTAGATCTATATTATCAATTTATCATCGAATCTGATTGCTTGGTCTTGTTGCTTGAGTTTCATGGAGCCATTGCACACCCATATTCCATCTTGAATACTGTTGGTGAGTGCTAGTCTCTTCTTAAGCTCTTCGCCACCTCTTATGTCAGCCATGTTTGTCGCTCGGGCAACATATACGTTTGCAACTTAGCTCACTTTGCTTGTAGATACAAATGTACCTCCTTTTGTGATCTAGGGATGATCCAGACTTTATCTGTACTCAAATTCTTCTTGAAGCTATGTAATTGAATCTTTTGATTCCTCTAAAAAAAAGTAACAATATCATATACTAGTTATACTTGTAGTCTTGCCCTTAAATTCGCCCCTGTAATTATAAGCAAAAGATAGAATTAATTAAATTTAACAAGTAATTTGAAATTTGAAGTCTTTTCGATGGAAACAAACTGAATTACAAGAATAGAAAGGCTGATCAGAAAGACTTAAAAAGGTGGCTAACAGATTAAACTAATCACACCATTGATGATCTCCAAACACAGATATAGTATAGAAAATTTAGAATATTTAATTTCCCTCTACAATTTTGAAATTCTTGTATAATAATATTTGTTCATGAACATACTTGGAGTAGTCCTTAACTTTGTGAGAATTAAAGATGTGTTAACAAGTTTAAATAATGTGAGAAGTAGTTAGTAGTAGTGTCAGCAATCAATTAATCAAGAAATATTTTGGACCGGGTTGCTATCTGTTCTGGCTTCTGTCTTATCTATTTGTAGTAATTTATTTTACTATCATATCTTTATATGGAAGTGTATAGAATATTGTATTTTCCATTATTAGTTTAGATGCAATTAAACCTTACAATTGACTATCAAGAAAACCATAAGTTAAGTTATGGGTATCTTACAATTTTTAAGAGTTTTGAGTCCGATCATCTCCAATAAAAAGAGATTAATCTTAATCTAAGTGCTCCAAAATTTTTTATTTATTAGTAGAAGTTAGTCCAAATTTAATTAGACAATCTAAATTTACTTAGGAGTTGTTTTGTCTTTAAGAGTTTTTGTATCAGTTTGCCACTATAAAGTTATCTATGAGAGTTTGTTTTATAGGAGTTATCAATAGAGTCTTGATTAGTTTATCTTTAGGAGTTAGATTTGTTCTAGAATTCTTAATTATGTAATTAGTTAGACATAACATACATTTTTTTATAAAGAGAATCGGTCAACATAATAAAGCTCCTTTATTAACAATATAATTTATATGTTAGATAACCTCATATTAATTGAAGGGTTTATATAACCTCGCACTATTTTACGGGTTTAGATAACCTCACACTATTTGAAAAGTTGTCCATATTAATTTTGCCCCAAGATGATATAACTTGTATATGTTATTCTCCATGGGATTGTGAGTTTATTAAGTTATATAATTATTATAGATCTTATTTCTACAGCCAACTTAACCTAATACATTGCAGGTCATCCAAATAAAATAGAGTCTAAAGGTTTCTGATGAAGACTTAGCATATTTTTTAGATAATAGATAACTATATATATGTAGTTAACCTTCTTGTTCTACTGCTCTATCAGAATTTTATAAATATGCTCTTTTATTTTACATTAGATAAACGGATTATACACTGAATTAGAATGGTTTCTGGATGATGGTGCTAATAAGTAAAATAATCTTAATTTCATAGTTTCTAGGTTATTGAAAGTGGCATTTAGGTTTTAGTTTGAAATTATAAACAACTTCTATGGACCTCTTACAAAAAGGCATTAGCTATATGATTTATGACATAATTATGTTTTTCAGCCAATAGACTAAATTATTAAAGATGAATAAAAGCCCTGACTTAACGCCTTCTTTCTGATAGCTCCCCTGTCTCTCTAATAAATCGATCTCCTTCTACCACATGGCGATGCTCCCTCTCTCAACTTATCTATCAACCGGATCAATTTATCCTTTACAAAGACTCAAAACCAAAAATCATGACCTCTCTATCACTCTATATGATCAACTCCCTTTTTACAATGACATCCAAATTAATTCCCTCCCCTCTCACAATTTGACCTCTGTGTCCATGGAGCAATTTCATTTGTTAGATACATAAGGTAGCTATCTAGTAACGTATTACAAAGTTTATGAACACATTTTTTGGAGTATACTACATTTACTAATCACTGAAATGAAACAAAATGTGCAAATATTGAATTTGGTTTCTTTTGCTCGAACAAAAAGACATAACATAACCCAAACTCATAACATAAACTATTTAGCAATTGAGTTATGGTAAAGAAATAAATTTAAAAAACAATTGAGATATTCGACCACGTGCAACGCACGTGCATCCCACCTAATACATTTGAAAAAACCAGTCCAAGTTTAACCCGGGCTTGGCCGGTGGGCTTAAAGTAAGTCTCTTCAGACCCAGACATTCAGGCCTAGGATTAGCTCAGGATAAAAACTGAAATGGGTTGACCAGGCACGGCCAGGGCCTAGGTTAGGCCTACAAAGTCGTCTTGGGCTTAATGGAAGTGTGTACTAGTGGTGCGAAATCTGTAGGCTATGTAAATTTAGAAATGTCAACTGTAATAAACATATGTGATTCCTTCTTAGCAACTAGAACAAATTTTACTATCTTAAAAATTACGGAAAAAAATAAAATTTAAAAGTTGTAAATAATAATCTTGAACTATCAGCTTTGTTTGTGTATTTGCAATGTTAATATAGAAGCATTAGATAAGTGACAATGGTATGAAATATAATCTCACATAGACTGATATAAGTAACTATCAGATTCTTAATGAATTGACTGTGAGAAAAATGGATGTTTTTGGGTTTTATTTTGTATATTATTTTAGTTTTTTTTGTTTTTGTTGATTTGGGGGGTGGGTCAAGGATCTGCTGAATCCTCATTAATTTCCTATTGTACTTCAAGCACGTTACAGAATTCTTGGTTGGACTGTATGGGAAAAGTGTGTTTTTTGGTTGTTTCATGTTTTCTCTTTTTCTTCTTTTCTTTTTTGTTTACTAGGTGAGATGCACGTACGTTGCACATGGTTGAATAATTTGATTATTTCATTCAGGTTTATGTCTTTATTTTTATCATGAAACATATTTTATGTCTTTACTGTAACTAGTTTGTGAAATAGTTCATGGTTACCAGATAATCTATTGCACAAAAATAAGGTCATGTTTTTAAACCTCTACTTGATGATGATAACATTTTGTAGGCTAGTATCAAACTTGATAATGCATTGAATTTAGTTATGTCTTGCAAATTTTAGAACTTTGATCTAACCTATGTTACCCGGGTACTTCTATAATGAAGCCGTACCCGTACCGGACACGTACCCGACACTTTCCCGTACCCAAACTTCATGGACACTTCTTGAATATATGCATGCATTTATTACAACATGTACGCAATTATACGATATATGTGTTAATTTAAAACACTTGTCAAAAACTTCCTAAACGTAGAGC